ATGAAACGGGGGTCGCGATCAGTCACTATGGTGCGTGGAGGACCATGTAGACGAACAACCCCAACCACAAAAGCTTCAGCTACAACCTTAGTAGAGAAAGTAGAAGGCAAAGGAATAAAGTGCCCATACTTGGACAGCCGATCAACAACAGTCATAATCGTGGCCTTTCCTTTGGAGCTAGGCAAGCAGGTAATAAAATCCATGGCAATATCCTCAAAGACCTGGTCCGGTATAGGCAAGGGCTGGAGAAGGCCAGCCGGTAATTGGTGGGAATCTTTCATCTGCTGGCAGGTTTGACAAGCTNCTTTTTAACGGGTTTACGGTACGTAGTTAGTAGGTACGGACGGGACCGGACGTATGTGAGGTTATGCTGAGCGATGTGAGGAGGCTTTCAGGCCTCGAGTGTATTGTGAGGAGGCTTTCAGGCCTCGAGTGTATTGTGAGGAGGCTTTCAGGCCTCATGTTGATATGTACAGGCTTTCAAGCCTTATGATGATATAGCGCTTGGGCTGTAGGAGCCCTTCCGGAGTCTGCACACCCACAGTGAGCGTGGGTACCCATTTAGAATTGGACAGTGGTAATAATGACACTGTCATACGTGTTTTGGTCAGGTAATAATGACTGAACAGTCAGGTAACAATGGCTGACTAGTGGTAACAATGGCACTGAAACACGCATTTGGTCAGGTAACAATGGCTGACCGGTCAGGTAACAATGACTGACTAGTAACGAAAAATCATGCCCGAGGGGCGAACTTTTATGTGCTCATCTTGCATACTTATTTGCATTTTTACCTGCTATGCTGTGGTATTTGTGCCCGAGGGGCGGATTATCTGTGGTAATCAGCACTAACTTTTTGAACAGTTTTCGTAATTATTGAAATGACCATTTTCAAAAGAGATTTGAACTGAGCCGAAACATTTTTAAAGAGTTCTTTGATTTCACTGTTTTCTCGGAAATTGTACCCGGCTTCTGTACAGCCCCTTGGTTGCTTTACGTGATTTCATGTTGCTCAGTTATTATTTACTTCTATTACTCACTGAGTTGGAAGTACTCACTTTACTCCCTGCACCTCGCGTGTAGTTGCAGGTATCGTTCACCCGGTAGCGGGTTATTAGCGGATTGAAGGTATTGTTATTGTAGCTTAGCAAGGTGACTGCCAGCGTTCGCGGCACCGGATGTTGTCTTTTGTTTTTTCCAGAAATTATACTTGTATATATTTATTGGCCTGTAGTTGTGTTAAGGTTTCCTTAGATGCTCGTGACTTGTAACACCCCGGTCGGGCAGTAATTAATAGTTTCTAATGCCATTAAGTTGTATCTTCTATTCATTTATGTTTAACAATTGTTAGTGAAAGGATTTGGGTTAGTTGGCTGGCCTTGTCTTTACGAGAGGTGCCATCACGACCGGGTATGGGAATTGGGTCGTGACAAGTTGGTATCAGAGCCTAGGTTACTAGGTCTCACGAGTCATGAGCAGGTTTAGTAGAGTCTCGCGGATCGGTACAGAGACGTCTGTATTTATCCTCGAGAGGCTGTAGAACCTTTAGGAAAACTTCACTTTCTTGGAATTCTTATCGTGCGTACTTGATTCAACTTGAGATATAACTCTTGAAATTCCTTCCTCACGTCTGTATGCGCACCTGAGCGCTCAGTATTATATGTGCCTTGACGGTTTATGATTCCCCGATCGAGGGGCGAGAGGTGATCTTCGTGAGTATGTTGGGCCAGTATAGAGGACTTGAGGCCGGATCTTTGCCTATGGCTTGAGCACCGAGGTGCTGATTGTGTGAACAAGTTCTTTGAACTTGTACGTTCGGTATTGTCCTTATTAGCCGGAATGGCGGTTGGATATCCATGTGATGAGTATATTAGTACTGCGGGATGTATCTATATGACTTGGTAGTGACGACGAAGTCTGCTGGATAATAAATGAACTATTAAGTGTTCGATTCCTATTGTGACTTGATGTGTAGCCCGAATTATGGGCGCGTGAAGAATATTTTCGTGTCTCCTAGTTGGAAAGTGAAGTGCATTACATGTGGCGGTATGAGTTCAGACTCAGGAAGACTAAATGATTGTGTAACGTATATGATGGTGGAAGGTATGTTGAAATACTGAATTGAGGCGAAGCAGGTGGGTCATCTCCTGCGGAGTGTTCTTAAGTGGTGTGATCCTTATGTGTACGTTAGAAGATCTCATGTGTAATTGAAAGGTACGTGTTGTAATTTAAAATTTTGGGTCGCTTAAGAGAGTGGACTCAGCTGATGTGGGGATGAATGCGAGGNATTCTAGGACTGAGCTTTTGACTAAAATATGCTACTGGATGGCCCTTTTGAGACAAAATCGCGCCAATACCTTGCCCTGAGGCATCCGCTTCCAACTGAAATTCCAAGCTAAAGTCGGGTAAAGCCAATACAGGCGTAGTGCCAAGCTTATCCTTCAAAGTATCAAAAGCAGCTTGCGTGGCATTCGTCCAGACAAAGGAATCCTTGCATAGTAGGTCAGTGAGGGGTCCAGCTAAAGAAGCATAACAATGGATAAAGCGCCGGTAATATCCCGCAAGCCCCAAGAAACTACGAACGTCCTTCACTGACTTAGGCTTGGGCCATTGTGTAATAGCAGCAATTTTGTTTGGATCTACTGCTAAGCCTTCCTGTGATATGACGTGCCCTAAATAATCCACAGTGGTCTGTCCGAAAAGGCATTTGGCACGTTTGGCCACTAACTGGTGTTGGCGTAGCAGCTGCAAAACCTGATCCAAATGCTCCAAATGTTCCTCCCAAGTATGGCTGTAAACCAGTATGTCGTCAAAGAAGACCAGCACAAAACGACGTAAATACGGGTGGAAAACAGTGTTCATGGTAGCCTGAAATGTAGAAGGAGCATTGGACAATCCAAACGGCATCACGAGGAACTCAAAATGACCGGTATGAGTTCGAAAAGCTGTCTTTGCAACATCTTCAAGGCCGACACGAATCTGATGGTAACCAGACAATAAATCCAACTTCGAAAAAAATTTGGCCCCGTGCAATTCATCAAACAACTCATCAATAGTCGGAATAGGAAACCTATCCCTTACCGTGATGGCGTTCAATGCTCTATAGTCGACACAAAAGCGCCAGGTGTCGTCCTTTTTGCGTACCGGCAAAACAGGAGAGGAAAAAGGACTGGTGCTGGCTCGTATAACTCCTTCTTTAAGCATATCCGCTACCATCTGCTCCATAGCCTGCTTCTGAAAGTAAGGATAACGATATGGCTTCACATTCACCGGGCCTGCCCCCGGATTTAAATGTATCGCATGGTCTTGGGGTCTAGTGGGAGGTAGTCCCTGCGGCTTCTGAAACACATCCGCAAAGGAGGACAATAATTCCTCCATAGCTGGTGAAGTGGTGGATTCTAAATCCGGGCTTTCGGCAATCAAACAGTAATAGGAAGCAACAGCATCCGTGGCAGCCAACCGTCGAAGGCTATGTAATTGGACTGGTTGAGCGTCCGCGGGAGGACCCTCTCCATTCCAACAGTACTGATTGCCATTGTAATTGAACTCAAAGATACGGGCACCATAGTCAGTTACCACGCGTCCTAATGGGGCGAGCCAAGAGACCCCAAGCACTAGATCAGAACCATGTAATGGTAACACATAGAAATCAGCCACAATATTGCATCCTTGAACCGTCAAGGGCACCTGTCGAGCTACACCTTCACACCGCAAACGTTGCCCGCTACCAACCACCACTGAGAAGGGCGTGATAGGCTCTACTGAAAGTTGCAAGAATTTGACTACCCTTGTTTGGATGAAGTTGTGGGTACTGCCATCATCTTTAAGAACCTACACTGGTGAGCCATTTATATGGCCTGTAAAACGTAGGGTAGTGGGGGAATTACCCCCAGCGAGGGCATGGTAGGATATAGCAGAGTGCTCCTGTATCTCAAGACATTGCAGTTCTTCGGCGAGCAGTTCATCAGAGTTGTAGCTCTCGGGAAAGTGCGGTGGAATATCGGATTCGTCGGCGAGAAGTAAGAGCTGGGGAAGGTTTTTACATTTGTGGGTGGAAGAGTATTTTTCATCACAATGATAGCACAAACCGCGCTCCCGATGGCTATGAAGCTCCGCCGGAGTGAGACGTTTGACGGGAATACGGTGTGGGGTATATGGTGGGGCAGAGGGCATTAGGGATTTGGAGTTTTGGTTAATAGGATTGTTAGGGATAAACGAAGGTGTAGGTAGTAAAGGCTGGGTTCGGGCAAAGGCAGGTCGAACCGGCCCTTTCTCTAAGGCAATTCACTATTCATGCAAGTGGGCCGCCTCAAGAGCTTCTTCCATTGATTTGGGCCGATGAATTAAAACAGAGGTTTGGATATCCGGTCGAAGGCCCGAAGTGAAACATTCCACCAAAACTGACTCCGTAAGGTCCTCGGTCTCATTAGCTATTGATTCAAATCGAGCTTGGAAATCAGCAACGGAGGAGGTCTGCTGCAATTTAGACAACCGACCCACCGGTCCCAGGAGGTGCCTTGCCTTGAAACGACTGACCAATTTTGCTGCAAAATTAGCCCAATCACTCAATTGCTTGTTCCGAAACAGCCAACGATACCACTCAAGTGCCTCTCCGTCCAAGTAGAATGAAGCCAAGGACAGTTGGTGATTCGCCGCAATTCCATAGAAATCAAAATAACGCTCAGCTTGGAAAACCCATGCGGCTGGACCCTCACCTTTGAATCGCCCAAATTCAACTCGAGCTGGTTTGTGGTTCGCATGGTGACGAGAGCCATCACCCTCAGTAATCGCCCGTACCTTGGAATCGTCAGCATCGGGTGAGCGATTGCTAACCCTAACCTCCGCCATTTGCGTAACCAAATCCATCAGAACCTGATGGTGTGAATCCATTGAAGCACGCATCTCAGCAAGCTCCTGCGAAATCGACGACCCCGTGGAGGACTTGAGTGTAGAGTCCGGCATAGTGGACGTTGAATGAAAGCACCAATGCAACAAACAGATTCACCAACACTTCTTTGATTACTTGAATAGATTGGGAAATCACAAGCTACTCAACTACTACTGGAAATTAGGAAGAATTGAATGAAATTACAAGGATAAAAAGAAAGGGGGAGGAGAAGGAGGATCTGAGAGAGGGATGAGAAACAGAAGAAATCAGTACTAACAACAGCCTGCCTATTCTACTATTCTGCCTTCTATTTATACTTTGTTCTATATCTTTCTTTATGTATTCTGCTCTCTTCTAGAGTCACGCTTTTCCTGCTTGGAGCTGGTAATCACGCAGCTTCACTGGAAGATGCTTAGAGCGTGCGCTTCTCCTTGGCGCCACAAGTTGGTTATTATTCACGTGTTCCCCTTCGTCCCTTAAGGTACTTGGGCCTTCTTGTGTAAGATTAAAGTCTGGGCCTGGTCATGTGGGCCGTTCATAACAGTGGGGGAGGAGTAAAGTTTTCTTTCTGCTTCAATTGTGAATTTCAAGGAATTCTTTCAGTTTACTATAATATCTGGTCCACTGTACAATGCTCCATCTACAGTGAAGTCCTCAGGTTTCTCCCTCTCTTTGAGCCACGCATATTCATTTTTCTGTTCCTCAGGCACTGACAAGCCATCTACTGTACTTTCAACATATCGACAACGAAAAAGAAATTAGACAGAAAAACAAGAAACCTAGTATTAGGACTCCCATGTGGATATATGGATAATGTCGGAGACACAAATATTTCCGTATTTAGAATGTCATTTCAAGTACAATCAATCAAATCAATTAACCATTATGGGTAAACTTTGGGGAAAAAGGAATACACAATATAATAGTAATGATTCTAGCAGCTGGCCAAGTTGGCAGTATTTTAAAGTCTACTTGTGTTTGCTCACTGCCAACAATTTCTTGAAATATACTTTATATATGTCATTGGTGTATATTTTTGAGAATCAAATCAAAGTACTACTTTTGAGAATACTTAGAAAGACAATAATAAGCATAAGGGTCAGGTGGAATGATAAATTAAAGGGTTTCTTGCCATTAACCATAGGTATCTCTAAAAATGAAATCATCTTTGATAAAGAGTAATAGATTTCAAATGTCGAATAATCAAACAAAAAGAAAAGCAATAACCTTCCAAGCAGGGGTGAAGCTACATGTTTTGAAGGGTGGTCAACTGACCACCCTTCGTCGGAAAATTACACTGCGTATATAGGTAAGATATTAGATTTTAGAGGTATATAACATATATTGAACACTCCAAGGAATCAAGTTAAAGAAGGAGAAGTGGATTTTTTTCAATAAATGTACGGTGCATGCATTATACCTGAGAAATTGGGAAATGGGAAGTCATAGTAGTATTGACAATGACGACCTTCAGGATCACAATAAGGTGGCCCAAGCACGTCCAGCACAGCGCAAGCTGTCCTTGCTGTGAAGGAGTGCATATTTCCTCCATCAGCTGGATAGAGGATTGATGTTTTGCAAGGAGCTGTAAACTCGGAATTCTTTTTCAACTTTGCAAGACGTAGTCCAGTCCAATCCCTTGTATCATCTGATAAAGAGTGATTCTTGTTATACTTAAAGACTTCGTACAAGAGGAGGATAGAGGGGCAAATTCCGTGTGTTCAACAGAATTATTCAGCTTGAGCTAGATATACTATGCGGAAAAAGTTTAAACGTATACATACAATATTGAACCCACAACTCTAAATCTTGAATTCATTCATATGTGATATGTGCAGGAAGACAACTCGTACACGTCACTATCCAGCCAATGAAATAAAAAGCTACTGTTTTTTTTTTCTTTATGGAAAAAAACTTCTTTCATACTCTCCTTTAAATTCTAAGGTAAGGAGAGTGAGTTCGTCAGCGGACAACCATGTTTTCTGAGTGAACTAGAAAATTCTTGTTATAGTATCCCAACTCGAGTTATCTCAATAATGGTTTTGGGAGCCAAGATTTCTACTACTCCCTCCGTTTCAATTTATGTGAACCTGTTTGACTGGGCACCGAGCTTAAGAAAAAAGGAAGACTTTTGGAGGTCCTAAACAAGTCAAAAAGGGCTCCAGAGTATTTATGTGGTTGTAAAAGCTTCTCATTAAGAGTTGAATTATAAGTTCAAGCTAAATTGTTATCAAATTTAGAAAGGGTTCATTCTTTTTGAAACGGGCCAAAAAGGAAATAGGTTCACATAAACTGGAACAGAGGGAGTACTATATTTTCTAAATGTGCGGCATAGGATACTGAATAGACTGAATAATCATATTATTATATAGTTGCATTCATAACTACTTGCACTCTCAAATTTGAATTTATATTGCTCCATCCGTTTAAAAAATATTGACACTATTACTTATTAGTTTGTTTAAAAAAGATTGGCACATTTCAATATTTCCTTAATAGGAAGCGGTTATAGCCACACAAATGCTATGAAAGGTTCAAGACTACAAATTTCAAAAGTTTTACGGTCTCACAAATGTTATGTCTTATTTAAGACCATATATCTCAAAAGTCTTTCCTTCTTCATTAAAGTTTGTGTCAAGTCAAACTAGGACAATCTTTTTTGAAACGGTGGGACTGACTTAATTTTTAAGGGAAGCACAAAAGAATCCATGCAACTTGCCATTCTCAAAGAGTAAATTAACAAGATAAGCAATCTCAAACGAACTTACTGTTAGATATATTGGCATTTGGAGTAGATTGATGGGGAAGGAGATTATCCACCCAATCATAAGATTTGATGTGCATTTTACCAAAGAAAAGCTTGCTGAAAACTGTCATTCCAGGATGGTTATGAAGAGGAATGACTGGTGATGGTGGCAAGCAAAAGATACCGATCTACCAAAAAAGAAACAAACTATGAATTCAATGAAGAGGGAGAAGTGAAAGAGAAAATTCTTTTCATTAAAAAGTTACATTTAACTTTTATATACTAACAATATAGAAGAATGTTAACCTATAAGGTCACCTAAATTAAAGATAATCATAAACAAATTAAAGGTCACCTAAAAAGATAACTATAAACAACGGTTAATAATAAGTAAGGTCAGTGACTAAAAAAAATGAAGCAAGCAGCTGATTAAGCAACAATAGTAGTGTAAAATTCAAGTGTATATATATGTTTAAATCTTTTAGTGAAATAGTAAACTTATGAAAACTCGACCTTGGCTACATACCGAGAATTTGTCACATTCATGGAGATGCAGGTACATTATTTTAGGAGGTCCATCAGATACTGTAGACCTGATCAAATATGGCATATTCGGCCTCAAGCCAACATCTGCTTCAGCTGTACAAAGGAAAATGGAGCAAATTGTTACACAGTGTCATATAATAAGAGGGGGGTGGGGGAAGGAGGAAACAAGGGAGTAGTCTTCATCCTCAAATCCTGGACATTCATAAGCAAAGCAAAAAGAAAAAAGATTGAAAGAAAGAAAGGGAACAAAGTCGCAGTTATTTGGGTCCCAATTCCAGAAAAGGTTGCTCCTTTTTTAACCAACAAGACAAATATTTCTTACACCAAAATTGCAGACAAATTCAGCTTATGCTAGCAGCTTTATCCAAAATCTATAAGGCATTTCCGTAATGGGAGAGGAAAAGCAAGAAAAATGACAAGACAACTGGATCCTGTCGTACTAAAAGTGATAAAATATACTAACAAACTCATCATTGTAACTCTTTTTGCTAAATTTGAACTCTTTAATAAGATAAAAGCTATCACGGTAAGCATTAAATAATAAATATAACTTCAACGAGAGAGAGCGAGAGAGAGAGAGACCATTAAAAGAGAAACATACAACTAATGTTCCAAAGAATGGGTGCCATAACCATTGAAGGAAAATAGTAGTGATAGTGCAACACTGAAATAGATTAAGAGTTTCATTATTTACTTTAAAATGAACGAATTCAAAATGGCAATGCATGATCAATTTTATCAATGTCAGATTATGTGCCCCGTTTTCAAAAGTTGCACCTTGTACGGTTGTATCTTAAAACAAGTACACTTAGAGAATTGTTATGGCACCATTTTATACAAATTAACAAGTTCCCCCAAAATACCAATAGTAGTATAACATTAAAATCACAGGAATCTAACCAAAACATTGAATGCGTAAAACAAGTAAAGATGTAGTAAAAGCAACGAGAATAACAACATACCCAAAACTGCCTTGACACGTTCAACATTTTCCGGGCACGGCACAACGCCGTGTCCGCAATTAGCAAAAATTTGTTTGCAAGTTTCATAGAGTTTCTGAACCCTTGACATTTTCTTCTTCGCCTTACTGTACTCCTTATCTTTCCTATCACTTATATTTTTCTCAGCCCAAGTATTAATCATATTCAATTATATATTCAAGACGAATTACGATCTGGGGTATATATCCAAAAAAGGCGTTACGTTACTCATGTAAAGAAGAGCAACAAAATTTTACTGTTTTATATGAGCAGTATATATTACATGTAGGAGTTGTTGAGTGGTAAAAAAAACAGAGAAGTGAAATTTCGCATTCCCCTGCTGTGATGTGATTGATAGTAGATGAGTAAAAAATGGGGGGAGGGGTATATAAATGGAGGAGTAGTGGATTGGGATGGCTGAAAGAAAAGCTCCATAATTAGTAGAGGTGAATGGAAATGAAAAACCAGGGGCCACGTACTATTCCAATGGGCTATTCTAACAGCGGATTTCTTTCTCCTTCCCCAAAACAACAGGCCACCTTCCACTTTTGACATTGTCTATTTCCTTTAAATTTTATATACTCCATATGGACAAATTTAAAATTTAAAAGTACTATTCAATTGAAAGAATTCTCAATTTAAGTTTTTCAATATTTCATAACTGCTTCAACAAAAATTACATCTTAATCCTAAACAAGTTGATGTCAACCATATATATTTGATCTTTACTACTTCATTTAAATTATTTCATGTCACTACTATGCAAGTACAAATAAATCTCTAAAAAGTATTAGAAGTTCAATAAAAGTGTTAATGTCTAAAACGTATTCTTAACTAAGTATTCCCGATTAAGATCATTTTCTTTCATTTTGCCTATTTTGTTCCTAAGTTTGCATGAATCCGAAGAAATTATAAGTCGTACCAGATAGTTTCCTTCGATGTAATTTTATGTCTGTCTTTGTTAGGACCGAAAAATTTAGGTGTTATGCGCAAGCTAACAAAGCAAACCTTGAACGAAGACAAATCATACAACAAAGAGAAATATATAAAAAGAGAAACAAACATTTAACGTGGTTCGGTCAACTGACCTACATCCACGGCGGAGATGAGCAATCCACTATATGAAAAGAAAGTATAAAATATCGAGAGAACAACCTCACGAAGAGGCAAACACAAGTGACAGACTAACACTTATCCCGTAAAGTTCTCCCCCTAAACACCACTCTCGAACCTCATATGGCTACATTCTGGATGTTGCTGAATGAGAATGGCGGATCTTCAATTTAATAGAACTCCAAATATTTTTCTACAAGAAAATGGACTAGCCAAATATGGGAGATTTATAATTTCCTTCTACAAGAAAAAAAAATCCAATTAAGGTAAATATGCTGCCATTTCCTTCAACAGACAGGAAAACCAAATATGGCAAGAAAATTATGGCAAACACCTAACAATTCTCCCCCTTCGCCTGAATTTTCTGACAAAATAAACTTGATTCACCTTCTTCACATAGCCTTCAACAGGTCGCATCTCCAAATCTCTACCACAAAGTATGTCTCAACGTGCGTAGCACACCGGTCAAATTTCTCAGACAAAAATCACGATTATCGTCAAATATTTTGCGACTAGAACTGAACCCGCCAAGATGAATCTGTCTTGAATCTCGCTCTGATACCACTTGTTAGGACCGAAAAAATCAGGTGTCATGCGGAAGCTAGCAAAGGAAACCTTGAACGACGATAAATCATATAACAAAGAGAAATATACCAAAAGAAACACAAACATTTAATATGGTTCGGTCAACTGACATACATCCACGGCGGAGATAAACAATCCACTATATAAAAAGAGAGTACAAAATATCGAGGGAACAACCTCACGAAGAGGCAATCACAAGTGGCACACTAACACTTGTCCCGTAAAGTTCTCCCCTAAACACGACTCTCAAACCCCATATGGCTACATTGTGGATGTTGCTGAATGAGAAGGGAGGATCTTCAATTTATAGAACTCCAAACCTTTTCCTACAAGAAAAAGGACTACGAAATATGAGAGATTTATATTTTCCTTCTACAAGAAGGAAAACCCAATTAAGGTAAATATGTTGCCCTTTTCTTCAACAGATAGGAAAATAAAAGATGACAAGAAAATTATGGCAAACACCTAACAGTCTTGTCCTCTTTTAACACCTTTTTCGATTTCTGCTATTTGAACTCTCACGCAAATATGATAATTTTTAACTTTATATGACCACACATCCATGTTAAACATTCTGTGCAGCATTAACATTCTAAAGTGGGAGTGATAAAAGTATAAAACCATAAGGTGAAATCGAAACTTTACATCTAATTTATGAGAGTTATCCCCACCATTTTAAAGGGGATAGGAATTAAGGAAAACTAAGCAGTGGATTAGAAGGTAAGAAATCGACACATAGTCAATCAATTAGGCAAATATAAGTTACAACAATTAATTATTGGCAAAATAGTCTCGGAACCACTTAAACTTGCATCTGTTTGTCAACCCGATAAATAAATTTATAATTTTTCTATTTGAACACTTCTACTTCATCAAAACCCACATTTTAAACACCTCCATGAGAGCGTGAACCTCAACTTTGCTGACAAGGATTACACATCACATGCTAACCCATTTATTGTTTGAAATGTGTAATTAGTGAGTCCCACTTTTTAATATTTTTAATTAATTTCTCAAATTTTTAAATACATTATCTTTCTCTTCTTCTCCGCCTCTATCAAAACAATTCCATGGTGAATCAAAGCACCACCAGAAGATCTGGAACCACCAACTTCGTCTATCACCATTAGGGGTGTACAAACCGAACCGGAAAATCGCACCAAATCGAAAAGTCAAACCAAACCGATTAAAAAATCCGACTAGGTTTGATTTGATTTGGTTTGGTATTGAGTAAAAAAAATTTGAACCAAACCGATATATAAATATATACTTTTAAGATTTTATATGGAATTTTCTTTAAAAAAATATCTAGAAATATTGGGAATCCTCTAAAAGGGCTTGTTGGGAGGAAAGATTACGTGCGGCTTGTAGAGCACATGTAAGGCACAGTCAGGTTGCTCACGCAGCGGATCGCTCTATATCTATAGATAGAGAGGTGTGAAAGTAATAGCCTTATGTGTTTCAAAATTAGGGGAAATAAAGCTTCAACAAGTAGAAGCTACCTGGCAAAGCTTCAAACAAAGATTGAAATATACATAGTAAACCACTTTAAACTCGCAGTTAGTCTTGGCCCAACTCTGCTCGTAGAGTCTCTTTCGAGCGAGATCCTTTACCACGCCTAACTAAATGAAAGAAAGTAAGAGAGAGAGTTTCTTATGGATAAGATATTTAATAAAATAGGAAGTGCCCCATATTTATTAACCTTAAATAATGGGTTGTATGATCACTTTCTTATCAAGTGTTACCGAAATGCGTCAATCTCTTTGTGTTTTCACATTCATATGTCAAGATCTATTAAATTCTTATATCTTTTTCAAATTGGATGTGGTTATTTCTATTTAAGATCATATTGATTTTATGTTTAATTACTAAATTCGGTTAACCTTGAACGTGTACATGAACGAAAAATTATTATTAGACGACTAAAAAATAACTATCATGCGTTACTATATAAATTCTCCCATAAGAATATTTAATAGATAATATGTTTGTCAATTTTTTAAATTTTTACTAAACATGTATTTACTTATCAAAAATTTAACAACGTAAGATTGAAATAGTATTTATAGTAATAAAAAACCCGAAAACCCCACCAAAATTGAACCAATCCGATCCATGTACACCTGTAATCACCACCATAAGCTCCAACCATAAAATACTAATTAGACCTATCTCTAGAAAAGAAAAGAAAAAAATACCATAAAAATATCAAATCTGTAACGACCCGACTGGTCGTTTTGCTTTCTAGAATCCCGTTTCCCAAAATAAGACTTTTTGTACTTGCTTTTACTGATTTATGACTTGCGGGGATTGTTGGTTCAGGAATTCGAAGAGTTTGGGTTGAAATTGGAACACTTGGTTCCTTAAGGTAGGTTTAAAAGGCCAAGTTTGACTTCGGTCAATATTTTGAGTAAACAACCTTGTAATCGATATTTGAAGGTTCCAACAGGTTCGTATGATGATTTCGGACTTGGGCGTATATCCGGATCGGGTTTTGGATGACTCGGGAGCGTTTTGGCTCCTAATAGTGAAAGTCGATTCTTTAAGGATTTTGAAGTTCTTTAAAATTGGTTTGGAGCGGGTTTTTGTGATATCAAGGTCCGAACGAATTCTGAGATCGGGAATAGTTTCGTTGTGTCATTCAAGACTTGCACGCAAAATTTGGTATCAATCCGAGTAGTCAAAGTATGATTCGACGCATTCGGCGAATTTGGAAAACTTGAAGTTCAAAGTTTGATTCAATTTGGTTTGGGGTGTGATTCTTGGTTTTGTTGTTGTTTTACACGTTTCGAGAGTTTGAGCAAGTCCATATTATATTTATGGACTTGTTGGAGTTGTTGGAAGGGGTCCCGAGGGGCTCGCGTACATTTTGGACCACCCGGAGGAGAGAGGAAACACACCAGATTTGCTGTTTCTAGTTTCCTTCTTTGCGAACGCGATCGCACCCTCGCATTCGCGATGAAGGATTTGGGGTGCTGTGGTGGGGAGATTTTTCCCTTCGCGTTCGCGTGCTGAGGACCGCGTTTGCGAAGGTCTGGGTCCTCTAGCCTTCGCATTCACGTGGCCTGGATCGCGTTCGCGTAGAGTAGAGTAGTAGGGTTGGGCCAGCGTTGTACTTTGCGTGCGCGAGTCCATTATCGTGTTCGCGCTGAAGGGCCTTCAGAGGGCCTGATCCAATGGTCTTCGCGAACACGAGGCCGCAGTCACGTTCATGATGAACGGGGCAGCTGGGCAGTAAGTTTAAAAATCAGGACTTAGGCATATGTGGGGTCATTTATTACATTCTTAGGCGACTTGGGAGCTTCAAAAGGGGAGATTTCAACCTAGCTTTGTGAGGTAGTAATTTCTACCTAATGTGAGTTTAATACATAGTTTATGGGTACATTACAACATGTAAATTAGTGAAAATTATGGGTTTAGAGTAAAACCTAGGTTTTTGATAAATATGAGATTTAACGACGAAATTTGTTATGGAATAGTAGAAATCATATATTCTTGATCCTAAGTTTATGGGTAATAACTTTCTTCGAAAATTTCCGGAATCCGAGCACGTGGGCCCGGGGGTAAGTTTTAGGAGTCTTGCAAGATGGGTTGGGTAATCACTCTAATAGTGGGAATATGAACTTTTGAGCCTATATTGATTATCTTTTATGTTATTTGGATAGTTTCGGATTGTTCGGCACCAAATTGAGGGTCTGGGCTTAAGCTT